CCCCAGCCGACGGCGACGAAGAGGGTCTGCTAAGGCGTTAGCCTCGCGTTCCCTCTCCGCCGTCTCCTTCAGTGAGATGACGGCCTCGCTGAAGGAGACCATCGCCGACCAGGACCTCTCGTCGCGTAGCATGGCCCCCACCACGCTTCGCAACGACAGGTCTCCACCCACTACCGCCATCAGGGCATGGCGCTGGGGAGCCCAAGCGGCGCATACCGCGAGGGTGTGGTGCGAGGTGTCCTCGGACGCACCACACTCGTGGCATACGGGCAACGGTTCCCGACGCGCAACTTGACACAGATACTTACCAAAGCACCCGTGCCCGGTAAGCATCTGCGTCAACCTGAACGTCAGGACGCCGTGTGGCCGCCTGACCCAGCGAGACAGGAACGGACGAACCGCCCCCACCGTCGCCGAGCCAGCCGCTGGAGTCCCCAGGTCTTCCCACCAGCGCCGGATCAGTGCCTCGTCAGCTAGGCGCCTGATCCGAGCGACTCCCTCCCGCGCTGGACGTTCCCCTCGAGCCCGCTCACTCGCCCGAAACTGGTACACTTCGGCGAGTACCTCCGCCTGGAGTTCCCAGGGCGGATCGCCCGCCAGAAGTGTCGCCGCCGTAAATGACACCGTACGGTATCCCCGCACCGCCCTCACCGCCAGGACCCGTTGCGCCTTGCGCAGTTGGGCCCTGTTCGGTGCGGAGAGGGCGTCGATCCACACGGGGGCACCGTACAGTGCCATGGACCTCACGATGCCGGCATAGAGCCGCCGGCAGTGAGATCCAGGGCCCCCGACATTCGGCAGAAGTCTGCCGAGGGCCGAGGCGGCGCCGATCAGTCTCGGGGTGAGCTGGGCGAAATGGACACGAAACGTCCAGCGTCCGTCCAGGGTCAGGCCCAGATATTTCATCTGGGCCCGTACCTCCACCATCCTACCCTGGACCCGCAGACAGGCGTTGCGGGGGGCACCCCTGCGTGGGCCATGAAACAGGAGGGCCTCCGTTTTGGAGACGGAGACCCTCAGGCCCAGCAACCCTATACGGTCGACGACTAGGTTGGTGCCGACTGTGGCCAAGCGTGCCGCTTCCTCGTAAGAGCGCCCCCGGGCTGTGACGAGGGTGTCATCAGCATAAGCGATGACACCGAGCCCGGGGAGAAGCGGACAACGCAGGAGCCAGTCATACCCGAGGTTCCACAGTACCGGGCCCAAAACGGCCCCTTGTGGAACCCCGCAGTCGACACGTCGCCGACCGACCACCCCATCTGCCCCCATCCACACGACCTGCCTGTCGCGGAGGTACGCGTCCAACACCCGCCGGAGATAGAGAGGCACCTCATGGTACCGAAGTGCCTCTCGTAGCGTCTCAAACGGCAGGGTGTTGAAGGCGTTGGCCACATCCAACGAGACGGCTAAAAGCACGTCTCCCTCCTCCACCGCGGCCAAGGACCGAACCTTCAGGGCGTTCAGGGCGTCCACGGTCGACCGACCCGCCCTGAACCCGAACTGAGCCTCTGAAAGGCCCGGCCCCACCTCCTCGAGATGCTGAGTAAGACGGGCAACGAGAATTCTCTCGAAGAGCTTGCCCATCTCACTCAGCATCACGATCGGCCTGTATGCCGAAGGGGAGTCCAGAGGACGACCCTCCTTGGGCAACAGGCACAACAACCCCTCCTTCCAGATCTTCGGGAACTGTCCAACGCGAAGACATGCGTTGAAGAGGTCCCGAAGATCCCCTCCCAGGTATTCCAGGGCGATGCACAGAACTCGCCCCGGAATACCATCCGTTCCCGGAGCCGTCCTCTTGGCCCGCAGTTTGTCGCGGGCCATCTCCATCTCCCCCTCGGTGATTGGGGGGAACTCGTCGACTCCCTCATGGCGTGAGGGAGGACACATCACCGGGGGGACGTGTCCGGAGGACTCCGGGAACAGCCCACCCACCAGTCGCAGGAGGACGTCGGGCGGCGTGGTCTCCGTGACCGGGGCGCCATGCGCGCGGAGCTTGTTCCGCGCGCTGATGTACGGGCGCCCCCACGGATCCCGATCCAGGCCCGCCAGCAATTCCTGACGGGCCGCCGCCTTGGCCTGGCTGATGGCGAGCTGCAGGGCCTTCTTTGCGGACCGATAGGTCACCCGCAGCTCGCTCTCCAAGACAGGGTCCAGGCCATTCCTCCTGCGACACCTCACGTAGGCCCTCCTGTGTCTATTGCAGGTCGCCCGAAGTTGTGCGATCTCGGGCGACCACCAATAGACACTCCGGCGACGCCGGTCTGCCCGCCTGACACGCGGCATGGCCGCATCGCACACCCTCGTAAGGGCGTCGCGAATGCGGCCAGCCAGTTCCTCCACATCGGAACTGGCGCCCACCACACTCCCCTGGGAGCTCCACGCTTCGACGATGGCCGCCTCCCTGGCCAGCTCTGTGTCCAGCTGGCCAAGGGCCCACCTCGGGAACGCCCGAGGGGGCCCCCTTGGGCGGCCCACCGGCACCGGACGGGTGGAGACCTCAAATCGGACGTAGTTGTGGTCCGACAGGGTCTCCACCTCCTCCTCCACCCTCCAGTTGATCACGTTGCGTGCGACGGCGGGGGTGGCGAACGTTAGGTCCACCACGGACCCCCCCTGCTGCCGCACGCACGTGAACGCCGTCCCCACATTGAGTAGGGACAGACCGGAGAGTAGAGCCCACGTCTGAACCGCTCGCCCTCGAGCGTCCGACGTGGGATTCCCCCAGGCCAAGGACTTGGCGTTGAAGTCACCGAGGACGATAGTGGGCCTCGGCGACTGCCTGCAGACCGCAGCGCGGACGGAGTCGAGGAAGATCTCGAACTCCGCCAGACTGCGGTTGGGGGAGAAGTACACCGCGACGATGGCGTACTCTCCCCACCCTGCCACGACGAGTCCTTGGCCCCTCTCGATTGCCGAGAGACGGGGGCCGGTGCTGCTCCCAGACACTATGGCCACGGAGCCCTCTAGGTCCCCCACCCAGTTCGGCTGGTGAGGGACAAAATAGGGCTCGCAGGCCGCCGCCAGGTCTATCTCCCACTCGGCCATGGACTGCAGGAAAAGGTCCTGCGCTCCGGCCGAGTGGTTCAAATTCCCCTGGAGGAAGCGCTGGTGTCCGACCATTATGAGGACATGCGCGCTTCCTCCCCAGCCTGGCGGCTACTCACACCGGGGGCGGCCCTGGTCCGTTGGGCCGTCTTCCCCTTCGTAACGGGCGGGTGGCACTCGCCCCCGCCCATTATGTGCCCCGAGGGGCGCCCCGCATCCGCGCACACGGCGCAGCGCACCGTCTTCGCGCTGCAGTCCGCGGACTGGTGCCCCTCGCCGCCGCAGCGGTAGCACAGGCGGCCCCTCTCCACCCTGGACGGGCACACAGGCCAGGTGTGGCCGATGCCCATGCACCTGAAGCAGCGCAATGGGCGCTGCTCCAGGACCTCCACCTTGGCCGAGCTCCAGCCCACGAGGAGCCGGCCGGCATCAACCACAATTTTGGCCGCCGTGGCAGGGCATCGCACCACGACCGAGCCCACGCCGCCCCGCCCCGTGCGGATCTCCCCAACCTTGATATTGGCCACGGGGCAGTTGGCCGCCCTTGCGACCGCCGCAGCCACCTTCTCCTTTGTGGCCGAATCATCGAGCCCGTCCACTCGAAGATCGGCCGTTTTAGCGGGGCGGGCGACGGTCGCGAGCCCGTCCAGGACCTGGCGGAGCTTCTCCGCCAGTCTGTCCGCCACCTCCGGCGCAGCAGAGGAAGGGAGCTCAAGGAGCCGAGCCCCTGTTGCCGCCACCCTCACTGAGAGCCCCCCAGTGATTCCCAGCTCCCGCAGGTCCACGCTCTGTTGGGCCCTCTCAAGGACCCTAGCGTAGGATACGCCCTTCGCGGCAGCCTCCTGCGGGACCGTTATAATGACCGCGGCCGTGCGCGGCTGAGCTGGGACCTTCGGCTTCTGCGGAGCCTGGGGGGTCCTTTGTGCCTTCGCTGGTGCGGTGGCTTGAGTGGGAGGGGCTGACTTCTTCCCCTTGCCCTTTCCCTTTTTCACCACAGTGGCCCAGGAGTCGTCCTGTGCAGCAGCGGGGCGACTCGGCCCAGCAACCGGGCCTTCACCCAATCACACGTCTTATTTCTTTATCCCGCAACATCATACTCCCTGGCCCCCGGCGGCCTACCTCGGGAGCAGACGGACTCAGTCGGGCTCGCACTTGCCTACAGAAACGACAGTCAGATCCCGACAGCCCATACTCTAGCGCACGTTTGACACCCTCCCATCAGCTGCGACACATCTATCCCCTACCTCCGAGTGCTATACCTTATACAAACGTGCCACGCTTAACGACATATATATCGCCTATGCCTCTAACAGTCGGTCTACACATTCCTTTCTGCATCAACAGTCCACCCGGTGGTTGCAAGCTTCACTCTCCCTGTCCGACACACCCGTGGGTCAGCTCCCTTGTTTGTCACTCAGGCTCCCTATCGCGTCTCACTTCCGCACCCCATTTTGTCCCCGCCCTCGCCAGGTTTCTTCCGCCCTGTGAGCTCAACCTATCTGGACCGTCCACGTCTCTCCTGAGTCCTAGCGTGCCTTGTATGAACTTACTTTCTCCCGCACGCTCTGAGCGTGTGACCAATCCTACAGATATTCTGCCTACCGCTCTGATACATAGTTCCACAATACTACAGATTTCTCCGTGCCGGTACTATTGAGGCCCGTACTCCTGTTACCTGTCAAAGCCCCCGCCGAAGGTGACAGACTCACCCTACTGGTCATTCACGTAAATCCATTATGGGTTGACCGGCCACACCCCTCTCCTTCTGAGACGACACCCAAAAATACCGCCTGGATGAGCATATTTTCGCGATCACCTACACAGCACCTTCCGCCATCCCTGTCGGTTTATTGTAGACGCGTGTGTTTTCATTCGCGAGGTCTCCCCCCTACGCTGTCGATGGTGCACGATCACACTCTCGCACACGATCACCGCATGTCTTGCCAATCCACATGACTCATTCCATTAGATCAGACCAGCTGCGGCAGGACTCTCAGCTGTCCACCAGCTTAGTTGATCAACATTGTTTCAGATTGCCGATTTGGCCACTTCTGAGAAACATATATATAGCGCAGCAGCCACATCACTCGACACTCGACGACGGCCCGAGAGCTCGATCTCTCTCCACACAGCGCAATCGAGTGTCGACGCTCGGCCTGGTCCTTAGCGGGCCAGGGCTCAGTCCCGACCTAATCTCAGAGTCTAGCCCGCTAACCTTCTCCCCTAACCTCTGTCATCCTCCAACTTGTCACTCACGGCAGTTTACCGGGTTCCTTAGAGTCGTGGATTAAACAATTACCACGCATCGCTATCTACCACCTAAACTTCAACGGTCGCAGCTGAAAGTCTCAGGCATCAAAACACTAACCATCTAACGCAACCTTCCTTATCTCCGTGTGACGTCACATGCAGCACCGGACCTCGTGTACCTCCTGATGTGTCTCATGTGCTCATATCGATCAACGGCTCAACAGATCAACACTCCCACCGTCCTGAGCCACATCCTTCGCCCAGGACTCATAACCATGAGTGGACGCCTCCTACGCGCCTTTACCACCCTAGCTCCCACGGTGAATGACATCCGGTAGAGTATGCTGTATCTTTACACAGCGTGCCTCGTGTATGTATGTACACGTCTCGAAGCGTTCTAAACAATACCTGTGCCAGCGATAAAGCATCACCCTGTTTAAAGGGTGGGTCCGCCTTCGCCCCACGGACGAGTGCGGTGTCCGACAACCCTCGGACGTGTCTGGAGGCCATGCCTCAGGACACCTAACCAATCCCAAAACAAACACAAATTACACGTACTACTTAACATTCAGACGAAATCCAAATCACAAGCAAAAATCAAAAAACCATAAATCCAAGCAAAAATCCAAATCAGGTGTGCATCAATCAAGTCCGGTAAACATAAACAACAGTAAAGCAATCGAAAATATCCAAAAACAACGTAGATAGGCAAGCCAAACAAAGTTTTCAACCTAACCTAACCTAACCTAACCTAACCTAACCTAACCTAACCTAACCTAACCTAACCTAACCTAACCTAACCTAACCTAACCTAACCTAACCTAACCTAACCTAACCTAACCTAACCTAACCTAACCTAACCTAACCTAACCTAACCTAACCTAACCTAACCTAACCTAACCTAACCTAACCTAACCTAACCTAACCTAACCTAACCTAACCTAACCTAACCTAACCTAACCTAACCTAACCTAACCTAACCTAACCTAACCTAACCTAACCTAACCTAACCTAACCTAACCTAACCTAACCTAACCTAACCTAACCTAACCTAACCTAACCTAACCTAACCTAACCTAACCTAACCTAACCTAACCTAACCTAACCTAACCTAACCTAACCTAACCTAACCTAACCTAACCTAACCTAACCTTTTTTTTTTTTTTTTTTTTTTTTTTTTTTTTTTTTTTTTTTTTTGTTTTCGCTGGGGAAACCCATCATGGGGACCCTACCGGCCGTCAATGGGTAGGGTACTGTGAGACTCCTACTCACTAAAACCCACAGCGGAACCCGTCGCCGCAGTGCAATGGGGTGTGCAGGATCGCTTGCGCATTCACTGCAACACCCCTGCGGACGGCCCGTACCCCGCGGGCCTGCCTCGCCTAAATCAGGATGCCCTCGGTTCGCAGGGCATCCCGACCGCCCCGATGACGTGCAGGGGAGTCAACGAGAGACCCCCCCGCAGTAGCTCCTCTAGGGTGGCGGGAGAAGATGGGCGTACCGACGCCTCCTCTCCCCCAGCCGACGGCGACGAAGAGGGTCTGCTAAGGCGTTAGCCTCGCGTTCCCTCTCCGCCGTCTCCTTCAGTGAGATGACGGCCTCGCTGAAGGAGACCATCGCCGACCAGGACCTCTCGTCGCGTAGCATGGCCCCCACCACGCTTCGCAACGACAGGTCTCCACCCACTACCGCCATCAGGGCATGGCGCTGGGGAGCCCAAGCGGCGCATACCGCGAGGGTGTGGTGCGAGGTGTCCTCGGACGCACCACACTCGTGGCACACGGGCAACGGTTCCCGACGCGCAACTTGACACAGATACTTACCAAAGCACCCGTGCCCGGTAAGCATCTGCGTCAACCTGAACGTCAGGACGCCGTGTGGCCGCCTGACCCAGCGAGACAGGAACGGACGAACCGCCCCCACCGTCACCGAGCCAGCCGCTGGAGTCCCCAGGTCTTCCCACCAGCGCCGGATCAGTGCCTCGTCAGCTAGGCGCCTGATCCAAGCGACTCCCTCCCGCGCTGGACGTTCCCCTCGAGCCCGCTCACTCGCCCGAAACTGGTACACTTCGGCGAGCACCTCCGCCTGGAGTTCCCAGGGCGGATCGCCCGCCAGAAGCGTCGCCGCCGTGAATGACACCGTACGGTATCCCCGCACCGCCCTCACCGCCAGGACCCGTTGCGCCTTGCGCAGTTGGGCCCTGTTCGGCGCGGAGAGGGCGTCAATCCACACGGGGGCACCGTACAGTGCCATGGACCTCACGATGCCGGCATAGAGCCGCCGGCAGTGAGATCCAGGGCCCCCGACATTCGGCAGAAGTCTGCCGAGGGCCGAGGCGGCGCCGATCAGTCTCGGGGTGAGCTGGGCGAAATGGACACGGAACGTCCAGCGTCCGTCCAGGGTCAGGCCCAGATATTTCATCTGGGCCCGTACCTCCACCATCCTACCCTGGACCCGCAGACAGGCGTTGCGGGGGGCACCCCTGCGTGGGCCATGAAAGAGGAGGGCCTCCGTTTTGGAGACGGAGACCCTCAGGCCCAGCATCCCTATCCGGTCGACGACAAGATTGGTGCCGACTGTGGCCAAGCGTGCCGCTTCCTCGTAAGAGCGCCCCCGGGCTGTGACGAGGGTGTCATCGGCATAAGCGATGACACCGAGCCCGGGGAGAAGCGGACAACGCAGGAGCCAGTCATACCCGAGGTTCCACAGTACCGGGCCCAAAACGGCCCCTTGTGGAACCCCGCAGTCGACACGTCGCCGACCGACCACCCCATCTGCCCCCGTCCACACGACCTGCCTGTCGCGGAGGTACGCGTCCAACACCCGCCGGAGATAGAGAGGCACCTCATGGTACCGAAGTGCCTCTCGTAGCGTCTCAAACGGCAGGGTGTTGAAGGCGTTGGCCACATCCAATGAGACGGCTAGAAGCACGTCTCCCTCCTCCACCGCGGCCAAGGACCGAACCTTCAGGGCGTTCAGGGCGTCCACGGTCGACCGACCCGCCCTGAACCCGAACTGAGCCTCTGAAAGGCCCGGCCCCACCTCCTCGAGATGCTGAGTAAGACGGGCAACGAGAATTCTCTCGAAGAGCTTGCCCACCTCACTCAGCATCACGATTGGCCTGTATGCCGAAGGGGAGTCCAGAGGACGACCCTCCTTGGGCAACAGGCACAACAACCCCTCCTTCCAGATCTTCGGGAACTGCCCAACGCGAAGACATGCGTTGAAGAGGTCCCGAAGATCCCCTCCCAGGTATTCCAGGGCGATGCACAGAACTCGCCCCGGAATACCATCAACCTAACCTAACCTAACCTAACCTAACCTAACCTAACCTAACCTAACCTAACCTAACCTAACCTAACCTAACCTAACCTAACCTAACCTAACCTAACCTAACCTAACCTAACCTAACCTAACCTAACCTAACCTAACCTAACCTAACCTAACCTAACCTAACCTAACCTAACCTTTTTTTTTTTTTTTTTTTTTTTTTTTTTTTTTTTTTTTTTTTTTTTTTTTTTTTTTTTTTTTTTTTTTGACGCTGGGGAAACCCATCATGGGGACCCTGCCGGCCGTCAATGGGCAGGGTACTGTGAGACTCCTACTCACTAAAACCCACAGCGGAACCCGTCGCCGCAGTGCAATGGGGTGTGCAGGATCGCTTGCGCATTCACTGCAACACCCCTGCGGACGGCCCGTACCCCGCGGGCCTGCCTCGCCTAAATCAGGATGCCCTCGGTTCGCAGGGCATCCCGACCGCCCCGATGTCGTGCAGGGGAGTCAACGAGAGACCCCCCCGCAGTAGCTCCTCTAGGGTGGCGGGAGAAGATGCGCGTACCGGCGCCTCCTCTCCCCTAGCCGACGGCGACGAAGAGGGTCTGCTAAGGCGTTAGCCTCGCGTTCCCTCTCCGCCGTCTCCTTCAGTGAGATGACGGCCTCACTGAAGGAGGACCATCGCCGACCAGGACCTCTCATCGCGTAGCATGGCCCCCACCACGCTTCGCAACGAGAGGTCTCCACCCACTACCGCCATCAGGGCATGGCGCTGGGGAGTCCAAGCGGCGCATACCGCGAGGGTGTGGTGCGAGGTGTCCTCGGACGCACCACACTCGTGGCATGCGGGCAACGGTTCCCGACACGCAACTTGACACAGATACTTACCAAAGCACCCGTGCCCGGTAAGCATCTGCGTCAACCTGAACGTCAGGACGCCGTGTGGCCGCCTGACCCAACGAGACAGGAATGGACGAACCGCCCCCACCGTCGCCAGGCCAGCCGCTGGAGTCCCCAGGTCTTCCCACCAGCGCCGGATCAGTGCCTCGTCAGCTAGGCGCCTGATCCGAGCGACTCCCTCCCGCGCTGGACGTTCCCCTCGAGCCCGCTCACCCGCCCGAAACCGATAGACTTCGGCGAGCACCTCCGCCTGGAGTTCCCAGGGCGGATCGCCCGCCAGAAGTGTCGCCGCCGTGAAGGACACCGTACGGTATCCCCGTATCGCCCTCACCGCCAGGACCCGTTTGCGCTTTGCGCAGTTGGGCCCTGTTCGGTGCGGAGAGGGCGTCCATCCAAACGGGGGCACCGTACAGTGCCATGGACCTCACGATGCCGGCATAGAGCCGCCGGCAGTGAGATCCAGGGCCCCCGACGTTCGGCAGGAGTCTGCCGAGGGCCGAGGCGGCGCCGATCAGTCTCGGGGTGAGCTGGGCGAAATGGACACGGAACGTCCAGCGTCCATCCAGGGTCAGGCCCAAATATTTCATATGGGCCCGCACCTCCACCATCCTACCCTGGACCCGCAGACAGGCGTTGCGGGGGGCACCCTTGCGTGGGCCATGGAAGAGGAGGGCCTCCGTTTTGGAGACGGAGACCCTCAGGCCCAGCATCCCTATACGGTCGACGACCAAGTTCGTGCCGACTGTGGCCAAGCGTGCCGCTTCTTCATAGGAACGACCCCGGGCTGTGACGAGGGTGTCATCAGCATAAGCGATGACACCGAGCCCGGGGAGAAGCGGACAACGCAGGAGCCAGTCATACCCGA